TGTGTGTGTGTGTGTACACGTGTGTGTGTGTGTGTGTGTGTGTGTGTGTGTGTTGTGTGTGTGTGTGTGTGTGTGTGTGTGTGTGTGTGTGTGTGTGTGTGTGATGTATATATGTATATATGTATATATACATATATATATATATGTGTGTGTGTGTGTGTGTATAAAATTTATAAGTTTATTTACAACACAAGTCGATCATTCGTAGAGATTCAAACATCAAAAATTGTGTACATTTATGTATATAACATGAAATACGTACAATGTGTATATAACTATATATACAAAAAATATACGCACATTAAAATAGCACAAGCATCCCATGGGTATGTATGGAGCATGTACGCCAACATACGAATGCAGCACACACAAGGTACCTGTCCGTGTATATGCACGCATATCCATTACCTTTATACTATGTGTACACTGATTATATGTAGATACGCAGTGACAGCATACCATCTAAAGGCTGGCCTGTTGCATTTGTTAAGCCATTCGACACGATTCATGTATGTCGCTAATGTATTACTAATACATATGTACAAATGCAAGTATATCCCACATCATCACATGGAGTGCACAACTGTGTATGTCTACTTATACATCAATAAAAATATACATATATACATATATACACATGCACGCATACATATATATATATATAATATGAATATACATATTCATATATATTCATACACACATATACACATACAAATATACACATATACACATATACACATATGCACATACATACATACACTCATGCACATATCTACATATACACACATATACACATATACATATTGATAAATGTACACACATACAAATGTACACATATACACATACTCACATACACATATAAACATATACACGTATACCAACTTCTCATAAGTCTTCTCCGCAATGCACACTCCACAGTTCACACCAAACTGGCGTAGTAGTAGTACAGCAGCACATCCGTACTGGTAGAAGGGGTTTATACCCATACATGGCACTACACACTACATACCGTACGTTCATCTATGCATATATCCTTACGCATATACTATATATGTGTGTGTGTGTG